GGAAGGGAGGTAGGAGAGGGTGGAGAGTGGGTGACAGAGGAGGGAAAGGAGGAGGGGTGTGAGGTGAGGAGGTGGGAGGAGGGAGAAAGAGAAGGGATGGGAAGAGTGAGAGGAGGAGAAGAGAGTAGGAGATAAGAGAGAAGGAGAGGAGGGGGTGGAGGAGGAGGAGGAAGGGAGAGAGAGTGGTTGGGAGGAAGGATGGAACACCATTTGAGCAGAGAGAGTGACACATAACTTTAGAAGAAGAGGGTCCGGAGTAGATAGGATGGTAGAGAATGTGCGGCACGGTGCCAGTGACCCCAAAAAAAGATGTTATGCAGGTAGGTGTTGATGGTGAGTGGGGGTGGTATGTATCATTGAACACTGAGTAGATTTATGGCGTCATAAGGAGGGTCAGACAGATCCAACGCGATATAGAGGCGATCTGGCTAGGGGGTGAGAGGTTCGCCAAGAACTGAAAACCAGTCTTACTGTCATGGTGAGAGGTTCGCCAAGAACTGAAAACCAGTCTTACTGTCATGGTGAGAGGCGATCATAACATTCACTGCGGCAGATGCCACACTAGAATTTCTACATGTCATCTTTAAAACTGGGACAAAATAGAATGAAAGACTGAAATATGTGTAATCTTTTCTAAAAAGTATCTTTGATAAAAGCTGATCACTGGCAGGGCGTGCCCTGTGGCCTGCGGGGTGAGGACAGGGTCCGGGGCCCCAGCGGTGACAGCGCGACGGCTAGGTCGCGTGGCCCTCCTCGTGGCGCCTCCCGAGAGTCCCGGGCACGGGACGGGGCTGGCCGCAGCCGGCACTCGCCGGGGCTGGGGCGGCACCAAACCTCAGCCGAACCCAGACGCTGGAGCCGCCCGCTGAGCGCAGGCGCCGACCGCCACGGGCAGACAGCGATGGCCACAAATAGTCTTTCAAGAGCCCTAAAGCAGAGATCAGATTTTTACAGTCTCATGTGGCCTCTCCTTTTACCTACCGTGTTTCCCCCAAAATAAGACAGGGTCTTATCTTATATTTAATTTTCCTCAAGAAGACACCCTAGGGCCTATTTTCAGGGGATATGTTGTATTTTTTAAGCACGGTGCAACAATCTACATTTATTCCAATATCGTTAAGCCGTCTTCTTCTGGAACATCATCACCGCTCTCCAAACATGAATTCCATCCTGGATTTCTTACGACTCTGTTTCCTTTAGAACCATTGGCCCTGATCTCTCATGTCGAGCAATAGAGCTCTCATGGATGAGAAGGGCTGCTCGTCTTCTTTCCCACTCCGAGACGACATGCACGGGTTGTGCAGACGCTGCGCAGCCACACCTGTCACTAGGGCTGATTTTCAGGGTAGCGCTTATATCGCCCAAATGCTTAGAAATCCTGCTAGGGCTTATTTTACGGGGAGGTCTTGTTTTAAGGGAAACACGGTATTACCCTGCATATGTATTTACATTTGTATCTTATTTACCGTAAGAATTACTTCTGAGGAATCAAACTCAATTTCAGAACCGTGGCCCACGCCCGTGGCACGTGGCAAAATGACGTCTAGCCCAGTCAGGGGAAGGACTCGGCAGCAGCCCTCACCCTGGCTCTTTCTAGGACCCTGTCTTCCCAGTGTCCTCCTTTTAGGAACAGTTTCCGAGGACGACTGCCCCGCCCGTTCCCAGCCCCGCCCTGGGGAGCGACTTTGCATGTCCGGCCCGCCTTCGTCCCGATTCTCAGCGTCCACGCCAGTCCCAGTTGCTCAGCCCGCACAGCTCAGCGGACAGACGCGGCCCCTCCCACCACCCGACGGCGCCTGCAGCTGCTCACGCTCACAGCGCGCCCCATTCCCCCAGCGACTCTCACTGCACCTGAGGACACCCACAGAGCCTCTCATCCCTGGACCAACAAGCAGCGCTGGCGACACCGCGGGGGAGGGGTGAAGACCCCGTGCCCGCTGCTCACGCTCTCCTGTGATGCCCGAGTGCACCCCCTGCACTGCGCTTCCCAGCTCCGCACCCAGCAGGATGGTCTCTTCCAGCTAACGCTCACCCTGGGGGTGGGCCGGCAACAGCCACTGCCCAGACGTCCCCTGCGATGTCGTGACCGTCTGAGCACAGGTCCCCACCTCCGCTGTGATGTCCTGATCGTCTGAGCGCAGGTCCCACCTCCCCTGTGATGTCCTGATCGTCTGAGCGCAGTCCCACCGTCCCTCGTGATGTCCTGATTCGTCTAGCGAGGTCCCACCTCCCCTGTGATGTCCTGATCGCTGAGGGAGTCCACCTCCCCTGTGCGTCCTGATCGTCTGAGCGAGTCCACACCTCCGCCTGTGACGTCCTGACTCGTCTGAGCGCAGGTCCCCACCTCTGCTGTGAGTGTCCTGATCCGTCTGAGCGCAGGTCCCACCTCCGCTGTGACGTCCTGAGTCCGTTCTGAGCGCCAGGTCCTACTCCTGTGAAGTCCTGATCGTCTCGAAGCTGCACGGTCCCACCTTCTCGCTGTACGTCCTGATCGTGCTGAGCGCAGGTCCCACCTCCCCTGTGGACGTCCTGATCGTTCTGAGCGCAGCCCACCGTCCCCTGGATGTGCCTGATCTGTCTGTAGCGCAGGTCCCACCTCCCTCTGTGATGGTCCTGATCGTCTGCGGCAGGTCCACGAAGGCGCCCTTTGATCAAGCACTGTGCAGCAGCGGCACCGGCGTTCTGCACCTGCTCCACAGCGGGATCCACACCCTCGCAGCACCAAGTCTCACCTCGCCTTTGGCTCATTCCTTGTTTTCTAAATCATCTCTCAAGGAACTTTCTAGAAAGGTACAATGGATAGTACATTCTCTGTGCACCTGTCTGTCTAAAACGGATTTATTTAACCTTATATATGACTGATCTTAGGATTTAGGAATGAAAGTTACTTCCGCTTGGACGGTTCACTTTTTTTAGCTTTGCCGTGGTTCTGAGCAGGAGGACGCAGCCCTCTCGTTCCGTGCTCCCGGACGCGGCTTTCCTTTAGAGACGCTCGCAGGGCTCCCGTGCGCCACTGACCTGCATGTCTGCTGGCAGG